TTACCCTTGTTCTTTTTAATACAAGAATTGAAATGGAAACATTTTAAAATATCTTAAAAGTAACTATTTGGCTTCTTACACTTCAAACTATGAACATACATATAATGTTAACATTACTATTATTGTGCTGCACTTGTATGTCCTTTAGAAAAGCAAATATAATTTAGACTTTATTAATGGTTTGTTTTATTAGTTTTAATATTAGTTTATGGTGGTTGTGAGTTGAAATGTTTGATAAAGCAGTCATGTAAAACTCGAGTTGTGGGCGGAGCCAGAGATATTAAACGTGCAGGGCTGTCGAGTGCACGAGCTCTAATGTCACAGTAAGTACATTACATGCGTCATTGTGTCACCTTTTTTACTTTTTATATTAAATGCAGGCTTTGAAACAGGAGCAAGCGATTACGGATTGGTAAATTAAGATGAAAATGTCTCTCTGAGAGCTTGCGTCGTTGTTGCGCCATTTCAAGTAACTTTGTATCGACGTTAGCATGGCAAAACGTTTTTAGGGTAGATTTATTTTTATGATTTTTACTGTTTAGTACACATATGGGCTATATATGCTGTGCTTAAAGGAGTTCTTCGAGTCTAAATCTGTTGTTGAAATCAGTTCCTCCTCAGACAAGTTTTTACACGGTAATATTGTGTTTCTGTTGCCTTATTTAGTGGAATGTGTTCATTTGTGAGGTAATATTTCACATTTTTTTCAAATTACACATACACTATCACAAACCACACACTGTAAATCCCGTATCTAAGGCATTATAGTTATGGTAACCACAGGCTTGCACGACACATTATAATACACTGCATATATATATATATATATATATTCACAGTACTATTGTTATGCATACTGCACGACAATATGCACACTAATAACTACTGATTGAGTATAGTGCATTAAAACAGATCACCATTACTTTTCATGAGTTATTGTGTGTGTTAGGATACATTACAGACTCACGCTCTACAGGTGCAATCATGAATATAAGATTATTGTCATCATACACAACTTATGTATTCTGTACATTAACCTTTGTACATTATAAGACAATTACAGTTAATTATGAAAATATATGAATTGCATTGTGTATGCATTGCACAATATATAGATTGCAATGTGTATTATAAAGCATTATGATTATCTTTAGAATGCATTATAAATACAGTCTTCACAGAAAATGTTTGCATGATTTTCCTCCCCAAGATCACTTTCTAGCCATGAAGAAAATGCAGTTACATTTTATTTTAAGGTGTCCTTGTAACAGTTTAATTACAAAAATAAGTACTGAGCATTATTAATGAACAACTTGTACTTACTATGGGGTTTGGGTTTTTCTTATAATTATGAAATTTGCTGTTATTAATATAGTAAGTACCATACCAGTCAAAAGTTAAGATTTTTAAATAATAATATATTTTTTAATGTTTTTGAAATAAATCCATTATACACACCAAAGCTGTTTTTATTTTATTTAAAAAAGTTTAATTTTCAGCAGAAGTTTTGAATGTCACAAGATCCTTTATAAATCATTCCAATTTATTAAAATAGAAAAAAGTAATTTTCAATTGAAAAATTTCTAAATATTTATTTTATTATTGTGGTTTTGATCTAATAAATTCAGCCTTGATCAAGAGACTTCTTGCAAAAACTGAAATAAAGAACTGCAATTTCAGCTAGCAACTAGCTGAAATAAAATAAGTTCATGTTTTATTATATTTAATTTATTTCCGTTAAAGTTTCGTTTAACTATAATAACCCTGAACATTAGTGAAAAAAAAATGCTTCCCCCCTCTAATTTATGTTTTATTACAAATTATATTATCGGGATAACAATTTAAATTGAATTGGACCATCTTTACAAATGAGTTCACATAATTAATGTTGCAAATGTACATATTTTATTAGTGATCTTGATTAGTTCATAATTTCATAATTTTATTTTTCACATCATTCTCACAGAATTTTTTCTAAATCCTTTGTGCTTATTTCCATGTTTAATGGAAAACAATCTCAATGTGGTTTCATACATTTGGGCCTCTCTATATATAGTAAAAAGAATGTTGACCCCAAAAATATGGCAGTTGTGGAAAAAAATCTCAGAAATGCAATTTGTTCTTTCTGGATGAACAGGGAATTGACTTGCACTTGTATTTTCTCTCTCTCTCTCACAGAAGATAAAAAATGAGGGAGGATGTATATGAGGTCCCCGAGGGGACGGAGTATTGTTATCTAGTGCAGGACGAAGAAGAGGAACAGATACAGTACGTTGGTCGCCTCTATGTCAGTCCATTCCTGGTGGTGTCGCGCAGGTGCATGTTCCTCATCAGCTGCGGCGTGATCGCTCTCCTCTCTCTTGCGGGATGCCTGGCTTACGTGGCTGAGACTCCGCCTCCAGGAGTGGCAGAGGTGGAGACCGAGTGCGGTTGGCTGCGTGGGAGCTGGAAAGGTGGAGCTTATTCTTTCAAAGGCATCCCATATGCAGTACCACCTGTGGGTGAACGTCGCTGGCGACCTCCGGCGGACCTAGTGGAGGCGGGACAGTGTTGGCAGGGCGTGTACGACGCTACTAGATTCCGTAGCATCTGTGCGCAGGTGCAGCCCCTCCGAAAAGACGGGCAGGTCATGGGACAGGAGGACTGTCTGCATCTCAGCGTGTGGACGCCGAGTCTACAGCCGGCCAATCCACTGCCCGTCATGGTGTGGATCCACGGAGGGTACCTCCACATGCTGAGCGGCCAGGAGAGAGGATACTCGCCCACCGAAGAGCTGGCGGCCCGTACGCAGACGGTGTACATCAGCCTGAATTACAGGCTCAATGCTTTCGGCTTCATGGCCCTGGAGGTGCTCAGGGAAGATTCTCCCACCAACTCCTCAGGTAAGACCCGTACCTGTCCAGTTCACTCAGGCCTGCTGTCCATCTCATTAGCTCTCTGCTTGTCACTACAGCATATTGAAATTCATAAAACATCACTGCATGTGCACTGTTCTGAACAGTAGTTCACTTACTGGCGTCTTTCTGTTTGCTGTCAAAGGGAATTATGGCTTCATGGACCAGATCCAAGCACTTCAGTGGGTCCAGAGAAATATCCATAACTTCGGTGGTGATGCTGGAAGGGTTACCATATTTGGTCAAAGCTCAGGTACAACATACAGTGACATCGAAAAGTATTTGAACACTCGGCATGTGTAATTGTCAATGCATAAGTCAGGGTTTTTCAACCTTTTATGCCAAGAACCGCCAAAATATGATCCCCTGTACAGTTTACTATACTTATTGAGAATGTGATGTTATAAGAACAACATGTTTCTAATATTAAATACATTTGTTACATATTTTATATATTATATTACGTACTTGTTTTGTTTTTAAAATGTAATATTTTCTTTTTAAAATATCTGAAAATGTTTTACTTTCTAATAAGTTAGACATTTAAAATTGACTTTGTAATTGGACAGTAAATATTATATAAAATCATATTTATTTCTAACTGTTAAGCGTACTGTCAATATAATACAACAAAATAATTATGATCTAGTCTCAATCCTGACCATAAAGATTCATTAAATGTGTTAAAAACTGCAAAAATGCTAAACATATTTAATTAAATCTTAAGTTGATGTTGGTGGGTGATACGACCAAAATCTTGTATCACAATATAGTAATTTTTTCTGGAAATTTGTTTTTTACATTGCCAAAATTCACCAATTTCGATATCACGGCAAAAACGAATACTAGCCATAAGTAAAAAGTTTTCAAGCTTACTGAATACAAGTTAACAAATCAGTGAGAAGCAAAGATTCAAATGAAATAAACTGTGCTAAATAAAAAAAAACACTGCAAAGTCTTCACTGTATGAATTCAATACACAATTGTTCATATTAAAGTTACAAAAAAAATTATTCAGTCAAGAACAGTGAGCTGTCTGATTTACATTAATGGCACAGACAGCAGTAGGTATATTATGCTGCTGTCACTTTAAGACCTAATGCACAGATGCAATATACTGACATATATCTGATTTTCTTTACTGGTTACATTCACCTAAGACATAACCGACTGTTTTTATCTAAATACTCACCAAGACAGGCAATTTGACATATTTTGTGTTTTTTTTGGCCATTTACATGCAGAGCCACAGACATGACATATGGGGGAAAACATAAAAGATATCATGGCCATGGATTAAGAATTTGTTCCCATGATTTATGAAGTCTTTCCTTTGCAAGGCAACGTGACTGGTTGCTTTAATGTTGTCAAAAAAGAAGATTCATGACAAGGAAAGAGTGGAGAATAAACAAAGTACTACAATGTATTTGTTATGCAGGTGTGTGAATATTAATATTGTAAATATTAATTTAGAGTACACACCCGTCTCTGCAAACATTTGCTAAACATGTTTTATAATCACATATGCCATAAATGCTATGCTATGCATAAAGGGTGAATACTGTAACCTGTTTATATGGCCGGCAAAATAAATTTGCACTGCTAATGTTTGCATCTGAAACCTTCCCTTGTGAAAAAGAAATCCACTTTATATACTTAAGAAAGAGTACTTTTTATGGAAATAATATATTTGTGTGAACTAGTTTGAACTATCTAAGAATATATGTAAGTGTGAACTGGATGTGAGGTTTTTGGACATGTTATTAACAAATAAAAAATATTATAGTTAAAATGTATATTAAATGCAATTAGTTGAACTTAAGAGTACTATTTTTGACCCATTTAAGTAGGACTTAAGTACATCTTAATATGCAATTTCATAATTGCGTCTATTGTCTTTGAAATATGGTTAAAGTGTACTGCTCAATGTACTGACAAGCATATAACTTATTTATGGTAAACATAAAATATACTTTTAATGACATTTGCACTGAAACTTGTCATGTATTTAAATATATTTGTAAATACACATTTATAATGATGTTGCACACAGGACATTTAAATTACATACTTGTATTATGTAAATGTATACAGTACAGTTATATTATAATGAAGTTTCAGTTAAATTATAATGAAGTACATGTGCTTGAGTATGTTAGTAAACACATCAAAATAAATGTACTTTTAAATTTAAAATATTTTTTTAAACATGATTTAAAATGATTTAAAAAAAAATCTACTTTCAATTTGACATTATTACAAAATGCACTTTTTAAAGTGTACTTAAGTGTGTTAAGTAACATTGTCATGAAAGTGTACTGTCTTTAAGTACATTTAAGCCTTGTTCAGACTGTCAGTCCGAATCCCATTTTTGTGCATATCCGAATGAAATCCAGTCATATTTCACTAGTGTGAACGGCAAAAAAATCACATGAAATCCAATTTTTGCAAATTTGTTTCGAGCTACATTCATATGCGGTTTGAAATCCTATTCAAATCACATTTCTGGAAATCTGTTTTAGTCTGACCGGTCAGATCGGATTTTGCATAACTTCTTTGCCCTATGTCACTTTCGCACGCCACGTAAAACGTAAACACATCAGACCTTGTTTGTTAAAAACATGCTGAATGTCTTTGCAGAAACAAGGTTGTGTTGTTGTGAAGTGCAAGTCACGTGTAAAATGACAATATATTGCTGGTCTATGCACCTCTTTGAGTTTTGAGACCGACGGAGGTGGCAACACGGATTAAATCTGCACACTCCAGCTTCCGACCTTTCTGCCGCTGCCTCATAAGACGTAATTCAATCCAGCATGACGGCAACATGTTGTCATATTGTAAGACAACATCTGTATTGCAAACTGTATTGCTGTTATTGTT